AAAAAAAAAAAAAAAAAAAAGAGCAAAGTCTGAGAAACAAGACTAGCTGGGTTAAATCTGCTCTGCTTTGGAACTTTGTTAAGTCTCTTTGTGTCTCAGTTTCTGTATTAAGGGATAATAATACATTAAAGGATGAAAACACATTCATTTGTACATGTAAAGAGCTTAGAACAGTGCCCAACACATACTAAAATCTCAGTTAATCTCGGTTACTATTAGTATGTGGATGGGAACTGCTTCAGCCTCCCTGTGGGCACCAATTCACCGGCTTTAGGGCTACCCAAGAGGCATAGAAATGAGCCGTCCTAGATTCCCCACTAGGAGGCAGCAGGGCCCCACTTGTATGAAGGGAACATTCACCCCTGAATTCCACCCTTCTCCTGTACTTGTGCTAAAAAGTTTCAGACCAAAACTTATTTGGCCTCAGACCTGGGATCATGATAGAAGAGTGTTAAAGCTTGGCGGAAAAGCAGGGGGGACTACTATTGGGAAAAACCATGCTCCTCCTCTATCCATTTGTGGCTTCACTAGCACCTTTGCTCAATGGGGACGTGGCTTTTGCTTGAGAGAATCTTGGGGGCAGCCAGGTACAGCCTTGTGCCCCCATCCTTTGGTCCTTACCTTGTCCAGCTTCCTTTAAGAATGAGCGCCATCTTTGGCTGCTGACACCCAGGACCAGGGAGCAGAAAAGGATGCCAATGAAAAGCTTCATCCTATTGCACTGTCAAGGAAACACAACCAAGGATAATATACATTTTGCTTTGGGTTTTTGTTTTTTGTGCTGTTAGCCCATCCTTCCCTTCTAAGAAAAAACCTCACTCATTTTTACACACATACACACATATGCACCACACATATATATACGTAGACAATGGATAAATAGAATTTCCAGAAGGTCTAGTTCTCCATTTCCAAGCATCTAATTGGAATCCCAGTGTCTGAGAGATTGTAACAGAAGTTTAGTACAAATCGTTTTTAATTTCAATCTCCCCCTGTCAGCCTTCAAACCCAACTGTACAGGAAGTTTCCAGAGAGGCCTTCGGAAGTTTTGTGACCAACATACCTCTCTACAATATGAGAGTCTAAAAATCAATAAATATTTGTATTCTTCTCATCAGCCCATGGAAAATTCTCCAAAATAGATCATATCTTAGGAAACAAATCAAACCTCAACAAAATCAAAAGAATTAAAATTTTACCTTGTATCTTTTCAGACCACAAAGCAATAAAGGTGGAACTCAACTCTAACAAAAATTTTTATCCTCACACACAGGCATGGACACTAAACAACCTTCTGCTGAATGACAGTTGGTTCAAGGAAGAGATAAAGGAGGAAATCATTAACTTCCTTGAGAATAACAACAATGAACACACAAGCTACCAAAACCTGCAGACCACTGCAAAAACAGTCCTAAAACCAGGTGCAGTGGCTTATGCCTGTAATCCTAGCACTCTGGGATGCCTAGGCAGGTGGATTGCCTGAGCTCATGAGTTCAAGACCAGCCTGAGCCAAAGCAAGACCTCGTCTCTAAAAATAGCCAGGCATTGTGGCAGGTTCCTGTAGTCCTGGCTACTTGGGAGATTGAGGCAAGAGAATCACTTAAGCCCAAGAGTTTGAGGTTGCTGTGAGCTGTGACTCCATGGCACTCTACCAACGGCAACATAGTGAGACTCTGTCTCAAAAATAAATAAATAAATTTATTAATTAAACTTAAAAAGAGGGAAATTTATCACATTAGATGCCTATATCCAAAAAAAGAAAGCAATCCAATCCCAAACCTAGCAGAAGAAAAAAACCAAAACTAAATCATAAATAAATGAAATTGAAAACAAAAGAATTCTACACTTCTGGTGGGAATGCAAACTAATACGTTCCTTTTGGAAAGATATTTGGAGAACACTTAGAGATCTAAAAATAGACCTGTTATTTGATCCTATAATTCTTCTACTAGGTATATATCCAGAAGACCAAAAATCACATTATAACAAAGATATTTGTACCAGAATGTTTATTGCAGGTCCAATTCATAATTGCTAAGTCATGGAAGAAGCCCAAGTGCCCATCTACCCATGAATGGATTAATAAATTGTGGTATATGTACACCACGGAATATTATGCAGCCTTAAAGAAAGATGGAGACTTTACATCTTTTACATTTACATGGATGGAGCTGAAACATATTCTTCTTGGTAAGTACCTCAAGAATGGAAGAAAAAGTATCCGAAGTACTAAGCATCCAAATTGGGGGCAGAGGAGATCAAACTTTCGCTCTCTGCTAATGACATGATCTTATACTTAGAAAACTCCAGATACTCAACTGCAAAATTCATGGAAGTAATCAAGAAATACAGTAACATCTCAGGGCATAAAATCAATGTCCACAAATCAGTAGCCTTTGTATAAGCCAAGTTGAGAAGCTTTAATACCTGGATATATGCCTAACAAAAGAGGTGAAGGATCTTTACAAAGAGAATTGTGAAACCCTAAGAACAGAAATAGCAGAGGAAGAACATACCATGCTCTTGGCTGAGATGTAATCCGCATTAAAACACCAACATCATACTTTAAAGAACTGGAAAAAATAGTACTTTTTTTCATATGGGACCATATGAGGAAGACAGATGAAAGGCTAACAAACATTTTCAAAAATGCTCATCGTCCCTATTCATCAGATAAATGCAAATCAAAACCACCCTGAGATATTACCTAACCCCAGTTGAGAATAGCCCACATCACAAAGTCTCAAAGCTGAAGATGCTGGCATGGATGTGGAGAGAAGCAAACACTTTTACACTGTTGGTGGGACTGCAAACTAATATAACTTTTTGGGAAGGAAGTATGGAGAATCCTCAAAGAACTCAAATTAGACCTCCCATTTGATCCTGCAATCCCATTACTGGGCATCTACTCAGAAGAAAAAAAAATTATCATAAGGACATTTACCCTAGATGGTTTATCACAGCTCAATTAACAATTACCAAAATGTGGAAACAACCTAAATGCCCATCAACTCAGGAATGGATTAACATGTGGATTACATGTAGTATATGTACACCATGGAATACTATCCAGCCATAAAAAATACGGAGACTTTATAGCCTTTGTATTAACCTGGATGGAGCTGAAACACATTCTTCTTAGTAAAGTATCACAAGAATGGAGGAGCTAGAATCCAAGGTACTCAATACTAATATGAAGCCAGTAGACGATCTAATACATGCCCAAATAAGAGAAAATCTCAAATCAATTCAAGGTGTGGTGATAACAAGGGAGTGGGGAGAGGGGAGAAGGGAGAGGGATGGCTGTGCCCCCATTTAATGGGCACAATATTAGGGTATATGGCCCATCTCTTTGGGAGCAAGACACAATTATAAAAGGGACTCTACCTAACAAATGCAAACATTGTAACCTAATTCTTCTTACCCTCAAATTAACCTGAAACAATAGCAAAACCAAAACAAAACAGAACAAAACAAAATTTGTAGAATGCCCACTCTATCAATCACTGACTTCACACAGAAGACCACATGACAAAATTCCTACCCTAAAAAGTATTCACATCTGGCAAATTCTAATTATCAGAATAGTAGGTTGAGGAAGGAAAAAGCTGAAATGCATCGCAGGAATGCTGGTGCAGAAAGAGAATCTCCAAAGAGTAAAACTGTTGGAAAATTCTAGCACCTCACCTTTGGTTGTGTGTTCCTGATGAGGCCTCTAGTGGAGCTGAGCCACCTGTGGAGCTGAGCCACCTGTGCCACCTGCTGGAGAGATGTGGCTGCTGCTATATATACCGTAGCTAATGGTCCAGCCTCTCTTCCCTCTTGCATAATCTCTCATGGCACAGCAGACAGATCATCAGGATTTTCTTCACACGGAACCAGTTTTTCCCAGATTGTGTAATCTGACAACTTTCAGAAGTGTAGAAGAATTTTTCTTCACACACAACCATTTTTTTCCTCCGGATTGTGCAATCTGGTAACTTTCAGAAATGTAGCAAATTAGGGTTTTCTGCCTATTTTGCATCTCACTCCTGGTGGAGAAAAATTTCCCCCTATACCATAAAGTACTGACAATTCCCCATGAAGAGCAATCAATAGCAGAAAAAGAGATGTGATTGTCTGAAGAATGTGAGAATACAGGATAAATGGAATAGCCTGCTTGGCTCCATTGCTCAGAATGAAACTGGGAACCTGGGGACCCTAGGATGTAGGATAAGAAATTAGGAGCTTGTCAACCCACAGAAATAAAACTTTCAGAACCAGAAAAGGGAGTCCTCCAGACTCAAGTGTATTCACAATCATTTGCCATTGAATGTCATATGGTAGGTTATGTTTGGAGGATGCTATAATCCAGGAATATTGAACTATAGTGTAGAAATTTGCAATGTAGAAGTGACGCGTGATAAAGAGGAGCAGCAAATGGGCCACTGGCTGATAAATTATCAGAATAGTAGAGTCAGGCAGAAAGCACAGCACTCTGGGAAATATGATGTTAGAGAACAGCTGTTTTAATCAGAAAAACAATACTGTGCTTTAACTGCGTGAGCTTAGTAAAATTATCTTGGGAAGAAATTTTATGCAGCGGCTATCAGGAAGCTAGAATCCATGGTCCACTCATCTGCCCCTTCCCTGCCCCTTTGTCCAAAATGAAAAATTTAAAGACCATTGTGTTTCCCTAGAGAAGAAAGAACGATGCATGTGTAATGTAGCCGAGATGATGAGATAATCCAAAGGATATCATGTCTGGTCCTGCTTGCAATGGGATCCTGGGCTGGACGTATGGGGAATGCAATATGGCAAATAAAGTCCATCCCAGGGAATTATGGCTCAGGATTATTGCCTGAAGCTTTTGCTGGGAGAAGAGGAATATGAGTAGTGCCTTAAAGATATTAGGGAAACAATGCCCAAGGCTGTTGCAAGCAAATTGTGGAGACTTGATAGCAGAGATGTTGGATAGTTGCATATAACAGCCAGGAAGGAGGCGAGACTTGTGCTCAACTGGATGAAGGACCCTCAACTTTTGTTACAAGACTAGAGGAATTTTGAGTAGAATATCAGCAAGAAGAGAAGTAACCCAGGATAAAGCAAATCAGGCCAGTGTTCACCATGTTTGGAAATCATTGTCGAAGATGAACACCTGCCAGAATTGGGAACTATGGTCCTTCCTTGGTTTGGGCCTTATTTTAATTCCCTTAGGCATAATGAGGTGAAAGTTTTAGGGCAGATATCTGACTGTCCCTTTGGTTCTTTTCCAAGGCAATGCTAAGCAACATCTGGATAATCCCTACACAACTTCAGTTTCTTGGAAAAGGTGGGATTCCCTATGGTGAGAGTGAACTCTGACCTGGGTTTACGCACTTGGTCCTCAGAATAGATAGGAAGGTGGGAAGGTAAGGTTGTCAACCAGACACAGACACTGGTCATGGTGGGCCCGAGGGCCCTTCGTTATAAGAGAAGGCGTGCCACATTCAGTCCCTTTTTTCCTATTTTCTTTGGGACAGAAGTTGTGGGCCAGTGATCATTTCCTGCCACAGTTATTTTAACCCTTTTGCAACCATTCAATGCTGAAAATCCACCCTCCACTTTCTCCTCTCATTCAAGTCATTCTCTTCTTTGATAGAAATATTAAAAAGCAAGCAAGTACAGATCCAGACAGCAGGAGGGATCTGCACAGGCCCTTCACAAGCCTTGCTTGTTCTCCTCCTTTATTCCCTAATGTATGCTGCCTTCTGGGAAGAGACACACAGTTCCTCCAAGTGAGATGCTTAGAACAATAACAATAGAGCCATTCAACTATTTTCAATTGTTTTCCCGCAAAAGGAAAGATTTCCTGTCATATCAGAATCTCCAGGCCATAGGTCTTTGTTAGTGTCTATTGCCCAGGCTTAATTATTAACAGCAGCACCTCCTTTCACTTTCAAAAATGACCTGGATTGAATAATAAATTAGATGGTGACCCGATTCTAACAAACACATGTAATGAGGCTGCTTGAGAGGTCTAAGAGGGCTCCATTTTTTTCTGTTACAGTTAAATAGAAGAAAAGGACAAGACTTAGTTCTATTAAGAACTAGAACAAGCGGGCTTGGCGCCTATAGCTCAACCGGCTAAGGCACCAGCCACGTACACCTAAGGTGGCGGGTTCGAATCCCCAGCCTGGACCCGCCAAACAACAATGACGG